AACTAGTAGGCCTCCTAACAATTAAACATAACAATCATGAAAATAAGTGCAGAAGAATATTCAATACGCAAAATAAGAATTAAACAATTAGAAAAACTATTTAGATCTCACAATATGTGGTTCCGAGGCTTCAATTTCTTTCAACCAAGTATAGAAGTTTAGTTACACATGATAGATCTAAGAAAAATAGAGAGAAAATAGGTTGGAGGCGTTCTCTCCCGTTCTAGGGTTTTAAAATATGTATTTATAATTGTTTCCATAGGTAGTTGACTTAAATTCAAAAACTGGAGATTCTTCTATGAAAAATGCCTGTGCGTGCGAGCCATACATTTCCTTGGTTTTAGGCTCGGTAAATAAAATGCATGCCCGTGCGCGCGCGAGAGAATTTGTCTGCGCGCGTGTGCAAGTTTGCCTCTGAATAGCATTCGGTATTTCAATCATAACTTTCTCCACATATATCCGATTAAGTTGATTCAAAATGCGTTGGAAAGCTAACTCAAAGGGCTACAACTTTACTTCAGATACCATCTTCCAATTTGATCGTTTACTATGTCAAAAATGGGTCTCAAACTGAGACTGAAAATCCGATGCATAAATTTTCGATTGGAAGTTGATGTGCGATCCTACTTTGACGATATTTCACCCCCTTGACTTCTTTTTTCATTCAATTGACTTCTAACACTCTCAAATCTTCATTGTGAGGTTCAACATGACTTTTGATTATTTGCACTTTAGTCCCCGAACTTTCGCTTTCTTTCATTTTGGTCTTTTTCCTTTTATTTCTTCCAAATTACGCCGTCTCCATTAAATTGCCACCTAAATCAAAATATGAGAATACTAAATACATTTAGGCATAAAATAGTCATATGAGCGCATTAAATAAAGATGTAAAATGTGTATTTTATATTCCTATCAAATTCCCCCACACTTAGCTTTTGCTCGTCCTCGGGCAAAACTTAAATTTAATTCTCCAAAGACACCAAGTCGTAATGCCAAGAACATAGAACCA